GACAATTCTCCACCATTCTCCACAAATACTACAGTGTCTTGGCTTTGCGGACTGGATCCACAATCCAGGGTCTCATCAACCCCGTAGCAATTTCACGACGTCCGTAGAGGGCTACATCGGTGTCTAGATCTGGTTGGCGATGCAGGTATCGAGGAGAGGTGGGTATGGAGGCTGTGTATAAAGGCAATGGGGATTCCGAGTGGTAGACCAGCAGCTCACTCATCTCTTCTCTGAGTATTCAGCCCATCTGCAAACTTAGCAGCTCTTCCAGTTCAATATCCAACTTACGCACCACTTTCTCCCCATCATGTTGTCCCAAGTCGCACTCCTCTCCCTCGTCGCCAGCATGGCAGCTGCGCAAACCCTCAACATCCCCACTCGCTCCGGCAGCATCGTCTCGCTCCCACAGCCCAGCACCATCACCGGCAGCGTCAACTTCGGTAACAAGGAGTTCGACCGCGGTCGGCCTTGCAACTCAGACGAAGACACTGGCAGCGACAGCGCCGTCTTCATCCTCCAGAACGGCGCGTCCATCTCCAACGTCATCATTGGCGCAAATGCGCTCGAAGGCGTGCATTGCTTGGGTATGTTCTTCAATCATCTCGCGACCCTGCAAGAAAGGTACTGATGTAAGAAGGCTCCTGCACCCTAACAAACGTCTGGTTCCGCGACGTCTGCGAAGACGCCATCTCCATCCTCGGCAGCGGCAACGCCCTCATCCAGGGTGGAGGCGCCGCTCAAGCCAGTGATAAAGTCATTCAGCACAAGTACGTTCCCTCCTCCCTCCCCCTTCCCCACCCACAAACCCATACACGTACTAACACCCCCTCCAGCGGCGCAGGCACGGTAACCATCAAAAACTACACCATCGTCAACGCCGGAAAGCTCTACCGCTCCTGCGGCGACTGCACCGACAACAGCAAGAAATCGCCCCGCAAGGTCATCGTCGAGAACGTGCGCGCCTTTGGACTCACGTCTGATCTTATCGGCATCAACTCCAACTTCGGTGACACAGCCTCCATCAGTGGATCTTGCGGAACGACGAAGAAGGTGTGCCAGGAATACAAGGGTGTTAACAAGGGAAACGGGAGTAGCAGCAAGGTTAGCTCGACGAGTGCTTGCACTGGTAGTCAGGGGAAGTTGGAGAAGCTGCCGAGCTGTTAGATGGGCTGTGTGATGGAGGGTGGGGGGGATGAGGTGAGGGGAGATGTGTGAGAGAGGGCTTGTATATATTGATCGCTGAGAATGTAAATAGCTTTTTATGTGGAGATGAGGGCATGACGAATCTGATTGGTTTTTTGTATGCAATTCGGTTTTCTTGAGATGACTTTTCTGTATATGTCACAAGCGTGTCGCTATATGCTGCTCAAGCTCCTTCGTCCGCCTCGAGATACCTGTCCAAAGCTATCCTCGCCCGTGACCGTGTATCGGTTGTATCCGCCATGTGGTTAGGTAGAAGGAAAGTACGGACTTCGTAATGAACCGCGGGTTCAGGGCCACTGGCTCGATGATAGCCGCCAAATTTGTCTTCGTTGGTGGCGAAGTATCTTACGAATACATCCAGCCAGTGTGCGACGTCCTTCTTGTTACGCATTATGACTGCAATGTCTGGAACATTGATCCGCATGTGCGTTGGAATTACAAAGCTAGAAGTAGCGTATTTCTCTGGTAGGCCGACTTCAAGAGGTGGTGCAGCGTGTCTCTGGCGAAGAGAGCCCATCCAACAGCCCACGGCAGTATCCAGGCCCACGTCGAGGTAGTTGAGATCGGGGCATTTCTGCAGGCCCTGGGCGATGGAGCGCCAATTACCGTCGGTGAGAGACATATACTCAAACTGGACGTGTTGTAGTGTTCGAGCATGTCGCTTGATGAAGCCACGAAGACGACTTCCACTTACGTAGCCTTCGCATAACACTAAGTACGTGAGATATGTCCATGTGTTCTTCGCGAAAAGCTCGGCCCATATGTCTTCGCATCCGTCGCATAGTCGAAGTTGTGGTACAGAGTCGCATCCGTGGTAAGTGATCCCCTTCACGCCCGAGAGATTGGCGGCTAGCTTTGATAGTAGAGGAGTAACAGACTTGTAGCCAGAGTAATGGCGGCGAGATTCGTTGTACGCGACGTCATATTGTCTCAGGTCTGACTCAATGTCATCGGGATCTTTATGTGAAGTAGCTCGGAGCTCGATGTGTGAGATTAGATGCGCCGACTCGGTGAGTGTGCTCAGGGAACGATCGTGCGAGGATGGGTGGTATTCTCCTGGCCTCACTAATACGCGGACGATTTGGCTAGAAACTGACGCGAGGTTGAGTGCCGCGCATACGGGTGAAAAAGTCGTCTCTTCGTAGAGATCCACTGTCTGCAGTGAGGTTGATTTTGCCAGGTTCCTGAAACATTGTGCTAGGATGTAAACCGCGTCGGGAGAGTTCGCAAAGGCGGCCAGATCTTCGTAAGACAAGCCGTTCACGTATTCCTCATGATCACAGGAAAACGTTCTGCCGTAATACTCATACTTGTATGGCCAATCGAATTTGACTTCGCGGATTCGGTCTAGGAAACAGGGAGTGCTGCTGATCGCTAACAGGTCGCAGAGAGACGTGTAGGTAAGTTCTACCCACAGTTGGTCTAGCATTTCTCCGTGGAGAACACCAACGTCGAATAGAGTTTTCCGGTAGATCTCCCTGCAAGAAAGCCGAAGCGCCTTGATACGTTCAGGTAGTGCATTGCTGGGAGGTTCATCTTCCGCGACGATGAAGCGACATATTCTGCTGAGAATCTCCGGCGGTAACGCTGATAGTGTCATGGCTGTGGGTCTCCGGCGGCTTGGGTGAGGTGTGCAAAGAGATGACGAGAGTGACCTGGCTGTAGACAACGTAAATTCGAGAGCCGCTATTGAAGAGGCTGCGTTGTTGTGTCGGGGACGCGGTCATTTGGCCATACATCAACCTTAGGCAACAATACCGCTAGCACGGACCCAGCTCTTAACCGAAAGCATCGCTGCTTCGAGTGAAAGAGCTCAAAGACAGCAAAATTAGAGCGTGTTGCTATCCTAGCACTGTGCTCTCGTACTTTGATGAACGATTGCAAATTCTTCGACGCCACTCACTATACTCCTACTCAGACATACAGTCAACGAGCGTGAACACAAGTGCAGATGCAAAATAGAAAGTTCCATCTCCCCAAGATCATAGCCTCCCATCAACATTCCCATACTCAGCAAGCTCCACTTCATTCAAATGACTTCTCGCCCTCATACTACTCCGCGCACTCTCCGTCGTTGTCAGACTTTGACGCATGAGCACTGCTCTTTTCGGATCCATTTTCGCGTTCGGCGACGCAGGTTTGAAGACCCGATTACTTTCATGCCCGTAATACGAGTACCGTGCGGGTCGTTTCCCTTTAGCAGCAGGTGATATTGCGCTGGCGTTGACAGCTGAGTACGATCTCGCAGGACGGGTTATGGCTGGTAGCGGCCAGTCGTCAGTATCGGAGTTCTCGTACTTGACCGACGATTCGGGCGACTCATGGTGCAAGTCCCACTCTTCATGCTCCCAAATGGGGTCAGAGTATGTCGACGAGGAACCCGATGGCTCGTCGATGTATACCGACGAGAACGATGTTGTTGCCGATGTTCGTCTCGGCGCGTACGGACGCGGGTGCATCATCTTCTCCATCTGCGCATCGAACACGTGACTTGATGCAGTATCTCGCTGATGCAGTCGTGGCAAGCTACGACGAAGCGATAACATTCGTGCTGGGTTTCGTGGAGGTGGTGTTCGCTTCTCGAGATCCAACATCTCGTAGCAGGCTTTACCTATCCAGAGCATCTGCTCATGCTCGCGAAGGTAGCGTTCACCACCGAAAGACTTCTGGACAATGCTGCGGGCCATCATCCCCAGCTTTCTTCGATGTTCAGACTTCTCGTACATCCGACGCGTGATGATCTCGACGTCTTTTGGTGTGGGTTTGTGAGGTAAGATTGGTGCCGCTACCCCAGCGCCATCGTCGGCGTATTGAGCCCACTCATCCAGCATAGCGAGTAAGTTGATCTGCGCACGTGCGAGTCCATATGCGTCATTGGGTGCCACAACTTCGCTATAGCGTTTACCGTCATCAGGGTCAGTGAGCACGCGCAGGGATGCGCCAACGTCAGTACAGACGACTGGCGCTCCGGTGAGTGCCGCTTCTCCAAGCGCAAGCGGCAGTCCTTCGGACACGGAGGAGTTAAGGAATAGCCAAGTGTTCGCAAGGACCATTGCTGGGTCTGCAGTGCCGCGCATCGCTACATTTTGTCCAAGACCTTTGCAAGCCAAGATCTCTTGACATTCGGAGGAGTAGACGGGTGATTTGTTGAGAGCGCCGTAGATATCGAGCTTGTAGTCTTTGAAACCCCATTCGTTGGTGATGATGTCCGCCGCAAGTAAAGCTGTCTTGATGTCTTTCGCAAACCAAACGTGAGACAGCATGGTTACTGTCGGCGTCTTGGTTTTGATCTCGGTCACCGGAGAGAACTTGGTCATGTCGGTAATTCCGTTGACGATGGGATCGACTTTCCGACGAAACACGTTCCGGTGTGTAAGTTGCCCCTTTGCGCTACCGATCTCCACCTCCCAGCCGGGGTTGAAGAAGTCTAGCATATCAAATTAGTCACTTGGACTGGGATAAAAGATGCGATGCACCTACCTGCACAGGGAAGAATCTGATCGGCGTGATGCAAGATGAGACAAGATGTCAACTTCATTAGACCCAGTAGCGAGTTTCGGATGAAGGGCGGCAGAGTGCACATCGCGGATGAGAGGTAAAGGTTAGTCTCACGCCAGGAGATTGCATGATCCCAGATTTGAAGTGTGCAGTTGCGCTTCAGCTTGCAAACGATCCCGTAGGACGCTGACACGCTGTGGTGCGAGGCTTGGAAGACGTGGGGTATCTTTTCGGGGATGGGGATCGAGAAAATGAATAGATCTACTCAAGTTAGCTTCGTCGCGATCAACAAGAGGATATTACTTGCATCGGAACCACAGCTCTAGCGCCGTGTCGAAGTGATTAAGCGTTGGAAGCTCAGTACGGAACCATTCTGAGGGCGGTTGCGCGTTCGGCATGTCTTCATCGAGCCACAGTCTCCTCCATGTATCTTTGACCACATCGCTGGTCCAGACCTCTTTCCAGTGACGCGAATCCTGAAAATATGTGTTCAGGTTGACCAAAGCACGCGTCGCTTGCTTCACGTCTGCTGATGTCATTGTAGTCGCCCGTGCGCCGCGAACGAGAGCAGTCAAGGTAGGAATGAAGTTCGTTTCGATGTCGGATATCGTTGCTGCTTTGACCAGATGGTCGACCTCGCTGTCCAGCTTGTTGGTGAACATCCCATGGTTTGGATGCATGAAGTCCAGTCCCCATAGTGGTATCACCTTGAGTGACTCGACGTTCTCTTCGGTTTGGTGCTTCGGCAAGCCAAAGTCGTTAGCCGATTCGACGACCATGTGCCATTTGATGGTGCGCAAGTTGTTGATGAGATCTCGACGACATGCCGAGACTCCACCGCCTTCATTCGGCCATGTACCAGTGTCAACAGCGATGACATGAAGGTTGTGGTCGGTATCGCGTTGTAGTGCTTTCGTTCTTGTGAAGATAACGGCATCCCCACCCTGACCAAAGCTGAACAAATCACTCATTCGAATTGCAAGTGGCGTCCATGCGCTGATATCGCTTGTGAGGTCTGAGCTGGCCATGATGGCGTCGGCATGCAGCGCCAGATAATCTTCAGCCTTTACGAGGCTGCCGCGATCTCTCCGTCTCCAATATGGGCGGAGGAGAGCTTCTCTGCGAATCAACTCTTCATCTACCCATCGGATGACAACACCATCTAGATCGTTTCGCTTCTTCCAAGCTTTCCAGAGTTGGGATCGAGCTCTGGAAGTGGAAATCTCTTGTTGTTTGATGTTTGTGCGCAGCATCCGACTGAAGAAACTGGAAGACGGGGACTTGAAGGCTAACAAGGGATTCTCGTCCGCGAAAGTACATCGAGTTGGCTTCTTTAGTACGCCGAGCCAATCATGACGAATCATATCCGGGGTTTCGACTGGGGCGCCGTTAAGCTTCGTAGTAATGGTTGGATGGAACTTGTGGTCATACAGCCATGAGCATTCATATACATCGGCTCCTTGGACGAATGTCGCTTCGTGAACGCGAGGGGTGGGTATCCAGCGCTCCATCTTCTCGGCATGGCGAACAGGAGGTGCACACCAGCTGACGTTGGCTGACATGTGCGGCAGCACAAATTCGGCGCGGAGAAGTTCGTCGTCGTATTTGGCGTTCTTGCGATAATGATACTTGAAACGGACCAGATTATTGTGGTTGATATAGCTTCCCGACTCGATGTGGCCCTTCCGGTTGTAGATAACCTTGGCACCCTCATCCTGGCCGCTGCGACAGGTTCTGCTTAGAGGCACCCTACTCTTCTTGACTTTCGAGATCTTCGTCTTACGCTGAAGTTGCTTCAACGCATACTCGTAAACAAACTCATTGGTGACCGCGCCATTCTTGTACTCTTCACGCAACGTGATGCGCATCTCTTCGTCATAGTATGTGACCCGGAGATGACCCCAAGTAGGCTCTGCTTCCAGATCACCTTGATAGAACATCAGTTTAACCCCGCCAACTTTGACAGGATGAATGAATGCTGTCTCCGTGTCTCCATAGCTTCGAATGATCAGGCGAGTCTTTTTCTGGACGATCAAACTACCCTTCACTGTTCCAGCAAGGCCTGCGATGTCTTTGCGGCGATGGTACAAGAAAAACGGCAGAGCAACGGACATTGCAACCCGACTGTATATCCACAAGCCTGTCAGAACGAAGGTGGCAGACGTGGCTAGTGGACGTGGTGTGTGTATCAAGGCTCCGTTCAGCTCGCGCTGGTATTCAGGGTCGGCCATACATGCGAGGAAGAAGAACTTGACCCACGTCCCAGCAGAGTGGTAGACATAGGCAATCGGCAGACGGACGTATTCAGTGAAGATGCTGAGAACTGAGACAGCCGAGTGATTGAGGACAGGATGATACGCCTCCTGGATGTCCGCGGTCATTTGACGATACTCTTTCTCGGTTAGAGCCTGATCACCTCGGTTCTTGAAGAAGCTGTACTTGACGACCGCTAAGTACGCGCCAAGGTCATATCGCGCAATGCACGACAGAATGGTACACGAGCTTTCCACCGGAACGTTCGCGTTTATCCATGCCATTTCTGTGTTCGTATAGGGTGCGCGGACGCCAACACATCGTCGGAGGAAAAGGCGACGAATCTCGAGGGGAAGATCTTCCCATTGACTCTCGCAGTTGAACCCAAGGCATAGATTCCGCAACAGTTCTTTGCGAAGCGCAGTTTCAAAGCTCGAGGCTTTCGGTCCCACGATAAGCTCCGGCATCGACCGCTTGCTGCATTCTGATATGGCGTAGAAACCACAGTCGCTTTCCCGGCAAGCAAGCATTGATTCTGTAATCTCAGCCTGGTAGTGCGGCATGCCAAACAAGGTTTCTGAACAAGCGTGCAGCAACGTCTCGGCAATGATCGCACTATTGCTGCTCACATTCATCTGCTTTGAGCCAGACCCCTTTGCATCCGAAGCGACGTAAAGCGTGAGACGTCCGCCTGTATAATGCGAGATCGCCCGTAGGTCGCAATCAACCCCAGCCACAGCCTGCATAGGAACGATGAAGACTTTGATGGATTCGTTTTTCCACGCCAGAACGATCCGCTGGATTAGAAAGGGCATAGTCGGGAATGCTTGCATGGCAAGCCTAGAGAGATTTTCGTGGGTGCATGATAGTAGGATAGCACAGATCTGGTCACCAGGCTGACCGTTGGGATACACGCGGAACCTGTTCTCCTTAGGTGCAGCCCGTAGCTTGCTGCAGTACGCGTGGAGCTCACTTTGACTGAACTCCGCATCACCACCAGTGCCGCTGTAGGCGCGATATCGCTCGTCGATGGCTGAACGATCTACACCTCGAGACGCGACGCAGCTCAAGCTAGACATCTCGGTCGATTTAGTGGGCTCCCTGTTCTGCTCGGTGTTTGGTAGTAGGTTCGACATCCAGGTACGCACGTGGAGCAAATCAGGCATGCCTAGCTGGGCAGTCCGGAACGAGAGAAGAGCTGCCGTCCAGGTCGAGACAGCAAGTGCAATGATCTTGTTGTACATGAAACCTGGTAAGACCGTGATGAGTATGTTGCCAGTTACGAAGCCGAGACTGACTGCTGCCAGGAGTGGCATTAGTGCATGCGGGCCGGAGAAAATCTTGTTGTACTGGTAGAGGAGTAGACCAGTATATGCGCCAACGTAAGCCAGGAATATGGTGAGACCCACTGAGGAGCCATTGAAAATCCAGATCAGTGCAGCACATATCGCCAGGGCCCAAACATGGACACCGATAAATCGACATAAGGTGTTCAGATACAAGTGTCGCCTGAATTTCAGATCGTTGGATTTGGCTTTGTCGATCTGGTGTGCGTCCTTGATCGAGACTGGAGACATTTGCTCAGACATGGTGTGTAAGTGTTGAGCTTTGTAGTCAAGTAGTACAGCTCCAATGAGGTAGTATGCAAGACCGAAGCCGACTGAGAGGCGAAGTGTGTCGTTGTCTATGGAGGGAAGCAATCCGACTAGTTGGCCGCCAGGTTGGTTACCGCCGCGTACAAGATCGAGCCATCGATCCATGAGTGCGACGATGAAGTAGAGTATACCACAGTAGATCTCGTCTCCAGCGGTCCTCCAATGGATGAACGAGTTGTGAAGGCGAATACCTTTTTGCGACTGCTGCATGCTTTCAAGCGCCACCTGCGTTTCAAGATTCCAGGTTGAACTGTATGGGATCGGTCGTTTGGTGTCGGTAATGCGTGCGTACCAGTCCAGTAAAAATAGCGTGGAATCCCAGCAACCTGCGAGCTGTCTGACGAAGGCATCATTCGTAGGCTTCTGCCAAAATCGGCGTCCGTTCTCCTTCAAGACTGCGCTGTGTAGCGCGGTGCGGCAAAGAGCCAAGATTGCGGGCTCACTCATGCCGTAGAACAAGTCTTTGGCACTAATCGATGCTTTTGAAGAAGGCGCGCTCAAGTCGAGGACTTTGGATGCGGTATGAGGACCTTTGCTCGATTGATCTGCAGAAGTCGGATTAGCATGTGTGGCTGAAGCGTTAGGTGTGGCATTACCTTTAGGATGCATACCGCTTGTGACACGCTGCTCTTTGGCTGACCGTTTCACATACCAATCCTTGATGTCAGCATCGTTAAGCGTCTTGATGTTGTGATACCAGGTCACCCATTGCGTCGCAACGTGCCGAGTACCGAGGATCAGCAAGGTAATGAATATATAGAGAACTCCTGGATAGATGTAGATGTCGTAGTCCTGAATGAAAATGGTCAACAAAGGGGATATCACTAATGTCGGGACTACCATGATGATGACTTTGCGACCATTGAGGAAACTGGACCCGGGAACCTGATATGTGGAGAGGACAGCAAGCACGGTGAGGTATGTTGTGAGGCCGAAAAGGTAGAAGACGAACACCGCCCCAAGGCCTGGACCCACGACAGCTGAGATGATGACAAAGCCAAGAAGACAGCCAGCAAGAGTGAATGCTAGGCCACCAACCAGACGGGTGAGTACGAACATGTTAGCCGCTGAGAATGCCATTGATATGAGGTAGTAGGTGCCTCCGATGGATATCCAGGTTCCAATCGCGCCAGAGAGGAGCAATGAGCACATCAATGCCAGTGTAGCATAGTATAGTTGGTCCTCTTTCATGTGCACACTCAGATACAGACCATGGCCAGTCGTAGATAGTAGGATGATGTCAACTAATGCTGGAATTGCAAAGACACTGAGGAAGGTAAAGCGGCGATATGCAGGCATGACGGATGGCTTTTGCTCTGGGTCGATGTCGGTCTGGGCTGCAGCGTAAGCGGAAGCAAACGATGGTGCGTTGAAGATCCACATCGGAGGTTGGTGTTCTTCTTGGTTGTAGTAGTTCCTATGCTTCTCCGATAGCAATATACCGATATCGCTTGGCTTGATGTCAAAGTACGCCTCGCATCTTGATCCTAGCGCGAATAGCTCTGCAAAAGCTGCGCTTTGATCTGAGTATTGATTGAACAGGGGATTCCGATCCGACACCTCGATGTACACTTCCTCAAACCCTGCTTTCCTTGCAGCGCAGAAGACGCAGAAAAGCACGAAGTCAGCCGCCGAATCTAAGGATCCTCTGCTGGTAATGTTGTTGAGAGCGGAAGTGATGATGTCTAGCCTCTCATGGTCTCGTGACCATAATATATCATCGAGCACCCTGGCCACTTCCCTGAACAGTTCTAGAGCATCACGTCCGTCAAGTGTGGGTAGATGTGAGAGCCGGTACCATTTGAGCTTCGCGTTGACCAGCTGTTTATCGGTGATGCTACCACTGATGTAGTCCACGTTGCTGAGCTTCTTGAACTGATGGTACGTAGGTATATCGATCAGTAACTCTTCGCAACGTTTTCGTATGGATGAGAGCAACGAGCAGTCCTCATCCCACTCCGAATATTGCATGTGTTGCAGATACAGGAGTAGATCAGTCGACGAGAGAAGCTCTAGGTCTTGCTGTAGCCTCTCGGGTAGTCGCTCAGGCGAGAAGGACCCAGCCATGAACTCCGTCAAGCCATACTCTGCTAAGAAGCACTGGTATCTGGAGAAGCCTAGCCTGCTCAAGTGCGTATGAAGAAGAACAGCGTTGAGATCCTGAACCGACTTGGAGATGTACATGATGACGAATTGGGCTCTCTGCTCTAGTTCCCAGACAGCCCAAAACTGAGCACCACCAGGCGTGTGGAATCCAGAGTCGAGCGCAGAGTATACTTGTAGTTGATAGTTGTCCTCCGCGTCGTCATTTGTACGAGCTAGTGCGTCTACAAGCTTTGAGATGGCATCTCTTGACGTTGGAAGCAAGTCTAGGAAGTGGCTGCTGCTGTGGCAATAGTCACGAAGAATCTTGGCGACAGGATGTAGTTGTGCGGTGGAGAGTCGGCTGAGCAGCTTCAGATCCCGTAGACGTCGTTGTGATTCAATGACACGCGAAAAGTCTGTCATTGACGCGTCCAATCCAATCGGAAAGCATCCCAAAGAGCCGAATGGCGACCCATTGGATGAGCAAGACAGTGGGTCGCTGCTATGCTTCTCCCTTGCCAGTGTCCATTCCAGACCAGAAGATACTGGTGATGTAGGTGTTCGTGCAAGCATTGCTCCGTTCTCGTCGATCTCGGGGTAGTGCACAGTATCAGTACATGTGCTCGACGCATCGTCGTCGCTGTCGTCGGCAGAATCGGTTGCGTCGAGGCCGGCGAGCGTATCGGCAAGGCGGGGAAAGATGTGTTGTAAAGGGAGGTAATCGTCGATGATACTTGAGAAACCGGGAGCAAGCTGACAAGACTTAGCAGTGACCTACGAATGCCCAGGCCAGGCAGACTTACTGTTCGCGCCATGCGATATCGCTCGTGGACTTCCATGACTCTTCGTTGCTTGAGCCACTGGAAAGCAGCCAAGGGCTCATGACAAGGAACAATCTCGTCAATGTTCGAAAGAGCCCGTTGACGCGGAAAATATGGGATGGCGCCGTGGTAGCTACACCACATATGTGCTCTCCTGACCACAGCGTGCGAGAGTTCGACATCGTCCTCGATCGTATCCCACATCATCGTTACGAACGACCTTTGACAGGCTTGGGAAACAAAAGATTTGGTTGTAGTCTTCATTTTGTCCATTTCGAAGAAGTCTCGGCGCTCTCCATTCGACTTGATCGTTCCATTGCGGATGATGAAGCCAGCGAACAATGCCACATCGAGTTTCTGGACACTGTCTAGGAAGTCTGGAGCCTCAATCTCCAAGTAGACATCCAGACCGTAGGCAATGAGAAGCTTCGACAAGCCGTTGAGTAGAGGCACCGATATGCGGTCTCGCCAGCCAGAGACAAGAACGCCTGTGAAGTATCTTTTCTGGTCCGGCTGTCGCAAGGTACGCTGAATAGTCCACGACAGAACATACACCGCTCGCGACATGTCCAGTTCACTATCCGTTGTCGAGAATGTGATTATCTGAGCCAAATCAAGCCGTGCGATGATGTGAGGCCCCATTGAGACGCTATCGTCGCCAACAGCTTCCAAGACCCCAGGCTCGCAGTAATCCAACACTACAACGTCCCATTGTGAAAGTGTTTGCGCTTCATCGTGTGTGACTGGATTGCTCAGAAGGCCCAGATATACGCCAAACGTCGACGGCTTTGTAGGGAGGGTATGGGTTTTGCGGACGACGCTCGAACTGTTCGACAACAGGTGTATTCGTTCTTGTACCGATCGTGGTAAGCTGTGATCATTGTCGTCACCCTGTGAGGTTTATAAGCCCTGAGAAGGTATAGCATGCATGCTACGTACCTTCAACAATGTCCGTAGGGAACGGTATGAGTACCAAAGGAAAGCAACAACTCCTACAAGCCCACTGGCACTGATAATGGCAACAAGCGTCCATTCCCACCACTCCTGTAGTAATGGTCCAGTCTCGAAGGCCTGAACGCCCAAGATATCCGGCGAAGGCATTGGTCCTGCCTATGATCTGTTGGGTGTAGCTCAGATATCTCCAGGTGCTGCTCCACTTCCAGAGAGTACAGTAATTACCATATGGTGATAAAGGCCAGTCAGTAGGCAATGCACGAAGAACTGGTAGAAAGATCCATAGCAGAACCGTAGTAGCAAGGTGGATATGATGCCCTACTGCAATAGCCAGTGTGAACAGGGTGGAAGAATGGTCACTTGCTCATCGGCAAGCTCATCGGCTACCGAAAGCCAGTTTGACAGACACTAATATTTTCACCATGGCCTATGTTTGTGCAGTCATGTGTTAGCTGTTGATCTGCGAATCGCGTTAGCATACACCATAGGTGTGAATAATCCACCGCTGCAGGGCCAGCGGCAGTGACGGAGCAGGGCCATCCTTCGAGAATCCTGCAATACGACTCTTGGCTGCCGCGAATGGCATTGGAGCGGCAGTCATCATTGAGGGACTTGCAGCGCGAAGCCTTCTGACCGGGCATTGGCGAGAGCGATGCCAGGGAACGCTGGCGATTTCTGGGGGCTAGTGCCATCTACCCCGAACAGCGGACTGTTACTGTATTGAGACTAGAACAAAGATGATTTAGATCTTAACGACGAGGCGATGTCAGCGTAGGAGGGTGTCGTGATGACGCGACAAGAGTGGTGGACGAGGGAGGACGTGACGAGGCTGAAATGTCGCGGTTCGGTAGTAAACGTCCGTGCACGCGCATCATCTCTCTTTCAATCACGTTCATCCGGCACCGCCTTTAGCCTAACATCCTCCACACGACGATTTTAATATCCAACCTCATCTATCACGGCACCTTTGTCGGTCTTGTATCCGACGCGCATGCAATGCAATGCACCTGCCGCAGATGAAGTCTGGGACGGTAATTGCTCGCGCAATATGGGCAGGCTGCGGGGATACGCGTGCTTTCGTGCAGCCAGGCTAGACGACACCCGGTGCTTCGTTCACAATATCCTTACACACACTCGCGTCCTTGCGGCCCCAAAGGCATTTTGCACCATGGACTTTGGCCGCACTTCTTCCAGCATGCATCGGGTTTTGCCTTCGGGGCTGCTCCAGAACTATCCAGTGGCTTGGTAGGCCAAAGTCACGAGTTCAGCCATGCCCTGAGATCTTCGCAATACATTCGTCTTAAGTGGCAAAGCTCATAACGCTGTGGTTTCTCAAGTACACTGATTTGCCAAGACCCTGGTAGACCATATGGCTTTAACGGCATCTTACGTATGCGAGGCCTTCCAGAGGTACGGCAATGAGTATTCGAAGCATCTGATCGAGCTATCCGCCGCGTCATGTTCTGAATCAAGTTGAATGCCAGGTGAATTCTGACTACTGAGGCTAAGAAGGGAGAAAATCGATAGTCTCTTGATCGTTTACTGCATCTGGACCAATATCCTCCGTGTGGCCTATGAGATGATATCTGCCGAGACTTCTTTATTAACTCGTCCAGGTTCCTCAAAAAAAGTTTCGGTAGCAGGCTGTTCACTTCGCGTCTCACGATGGCGGCTTCCATTGCATCATTACTGCGAGCATGCGCACTCACATGCTTCTGTCTCTTCCTGCAACATGTTTCCGCCTATGTGGGAAGTGCCACAGTATCAAGCACAATCTTGGTCATTGCACGCGATTCGACTTCGGCCATCAACAGCGCTACACTTGGCCTTCAAGGTTACGGTATCCCTTACGAGATCGTCACCGTTCCCCAGGATGGGATCACAAACCTGCCTTTACTCAACTCTTCAGCAACGCATGGCAACTACGGTGGTATTGTCACCGTGAGCGAAGTTGGATACAACTACGGAGACCAATACTACAGCGCACTCACTAGGCGGCAATGGAACGATCTATATGCTTACCAGACGAACTTTGGCGTACGCATGGTCCGTCTCGATGTTTTCCCTACAGCCGACTTTGGAGTCTCCAGCGTCGGGGGAAACTTGAACGATGAGCCTGTATCATTCACGAATACCACGGGGTTCTCCGCGGCTAATCTCAAGTCGTAAGTCTCGCGACCCAGTTCAAGTGGTACAATACTGACTATACCAATAGTAAAGTAGACGTGAGCATCGCGAACATATATCACTCTCCTGCGAAGATTGTGAACGCATCAATGGCATGGGAGGTTGCCAAGTTCTCGAGCAGTGGAAGCGCCGCAGTCATCAACCAAATAGGCACTCGGCAACAAATGGTTTGGTTTTTGCCATTCGCTCTAGACTGGGCACCGTCAAGCAACGTCCTCCAACACGCTTGGATCACATGGGTGACAAGAGGCCTTTTCGTTGGTTTCAGAAGGATCTACTTCAGCACACAGGTGGATGACATGTTTCTGGAGACGCCCATGTACCGACCGGCGGGCGTGAATTATCGCGCTAAACCCGATGACCTTTCGTTGCATGTCACATGGCAAGCCAACCTGAACGCGAATATGCCTGCAGGATCCGAGTTCTTCATAGAGATCGGGCACAACGGCAACGGTGACATAGAAGCATCCACGGACACGAGTGAAGGCGAGAGAGTCTGCACCCCAACGAACGCAATCGAATACGCGGATCAAAAGGATGGCGACCCAGAATTCCAGAAGCCTCCTGGTACTGGCACCAACATCTGGCCTTCGACGCCTTCTCAGTATACCTGGAGCCTTGAGTGTGCCGAGATCGACGAGCTACAAAATTGGTTCGCCGACGAAGAACAACGCGACGCCTTTGCGCACATCTCGCATACCTTGTACGTTCCATGCCCCTTCATGCTTTGCACTGCTGACTCAGGACCAGTTCCCACGCCGACCTGACCAACGCGACCTACTCAGATGCCTCAAAGGAGATCTCATTCAACCAAGCTTGGCTCAAACAGGTTGGGCTTGATGCTGCTAAGCGCTGGAGCGGGAAGGGCATCATTCCACCTGCAATCACTGGTCTACACAACGCAGATGCCATCAAAGGCTGGATGGATAACGGCATCGTCAATGTCGTAGGAGACAACACCCGCCCGCCTCTTCGCAACCAGCAAAACAGTTTCTGGCCGTTGACAACCAACGTCCAGAACAACGGCTACGCAGGGCTCAACGTCATGCCGCGCTGGGCAACGCTCATCTACTACAACTGCGATCTTCCCGCTTGTACTCTACAAGAGTGGATCGACACTTCTGCAGGCAAAGGAACGTTTGAAGATCTCATGATCAACTCTCGAGACACTGCAATGCGCAATCTCTTCGGCCTACATTGGGACCCGTGGGTGTAGCTTCATCCGCATCATTGGTTCATACTGATTTGTTATATAGATACATGTTCCATCAGGCCAACATGCGCGTCAACGACGTTCCGTCCACAACCGTCAACGGCAAGAGTGGCCAGTACTCGCTACTCATGACATGGATTGAGGTCATCTCCGCTGAAATGATGCGCCTGTATGTACCCTTGCTTCTCCGAAGGAGCATCCTACTAACACACTGCAGCACCACCTGGCCTTTCAAAACCCTCAAGCACGACGACCTCGCACAGCAGTTCATCAACCGTCAAACTCGCGACCTATGCCGACCCAGCTTGACCTGGACTACATCCGCCAACGGCGCCAACATCGAGTCTGTCAACGTCTATACGGCCGGCGGAAACAAATGTGGCACCACCATACCCATCACGGTACCAGGCGCTGTGGCAAGCACGACCGGCGCGACGAAAGAGCAACTGGGAAGCGATCCGCTTACACTATGGGTGACTATGAGCGGCGCAAGCAGGCAGTACAAGTTCTCACAGGCCATTCCGCTGTAAACACAAGCATCCTTTGGAAGAACATGGCGTCGGTCATTATCGAAATTGTCATCTTCAATGTATATCTTTTAGCTGAAGCTCAGTCAAAATTGTCTCTGTGTTTTTTCCCTGCATCCAGCATGGCCAGTGAACAGCTGCGGAGTTTAGGCGGTCATCTCTGACCCCTGAGCTAACCCCACATTCGCACAGCCACAACATCAATATGGGTGAACATCAGACCCAAGGTGGCGGGACAGCTGCGCCGCATTTCGCTACCTGCGTTTTGCAGTATCACCACACCCGACACGTAGTCACATCGTCTCTCGAAAGCGATCCAGTCCTGCCGTTATACTGTGGCCTTTTCCTAACAACTAAACTAATGGTCTTACCCCCATCGATCGACAGTGTGTTCAGCTGCCAACCTTTCCAACCGGGAGCGAATTCCTTCGGCACGCCTCACCCGCAATATGACTGCATGAGCGCTACACCAATTGCAGTTACTATATGTCTTACATACAACAATTATATATTGCCTACATATGCAAGGGTGGCGCACGTCACTGCGCCGCTTGCGACGCGTCTTCTCGTGATATTCCCAGGCTATCGATTTTTTTCGAAGCGTTTGCGGAGAGTCGGGTATGGGTTATCGGCGCGTAAGAGTCGTGAACTTGGTAGAGCTATTATAACCAGGTCTTCTATGATTGAAAGCATCGTGCCCAGAGTGTGATCGGAAACTCTGCGTCGGTGGAAGGAAGTTCTAGAGAGACGGCATATCTGATCTTCTGTGCCTAGCAACCCGTCGCTCAAAGGCATAATGTACACGAAACCCAAAGCACGACAGCCATGGTCTCTACGGCGCAAGATCCTCATCGCCGTCGGCATCGTCATTCTAATCCTCGCCTTAGGCCTCGGTCTAGGTCTAGGCCTCACATTAGGACGCGATAACGACGACGACAACGACAACACCTCACCACCAACCTCCACCCTAACACCCCTCCCCACACCAAACACCACACTCCCATGGACACCATCCGTATCCGATACCTGGCAAATCATCCTGTCCCATCCACCCGTTCTCTCCTCCTCAGACACTAGCACAACGCCCAACGTGAGCATCTTCGACATCGATCTCTTCGACACGCCCACCGAGACGATACGACAACTACACTCCATGGGCAAGAAAGTGATATGCTATTTCAGCGCAGGTAGCTACGAAGACTGGCGGCCCGACGCGTCGG